TTTTTTTTTTTTTTTTGTTCTAGTGGAAAACTCGGTTATTCATCTGGGTCAACATTGAAAACTAGAAGCTACGTTAAAAAGGATATTGGGTAGAAAGAATTACCGGTCGACCAATTTGAGGACTCGATCGACCGACGAATAAAGAATTTTTGAATAAAAACTTAATTGACTGATTGATTTGTGACTCTGATCAACCGATGTTGGCAAACGGAGACATCAGACGACATTATTTTTATAATTTTTTATTTTTGGTAATTTTTATAGTATTAGAGATTTTTGTCCGTTTTAGAGATGTTTAGACTTTTAGGGGTTCCTATATATCTATTTTCGTTATGTACTACAAATTCTTTATTGAATAAAATAACTTTTTAGAGTACGTAGTTCACTTATTTTCTATGTAGGTTCAGAACGATGCTTATGTTGCTTGAATTTGATATAGAAAAAATGATGTTTTTCTTTGTGCCCCATTGCTGCTGTGTGAAAAACTTCGGTTTAAGTGGATTGATTGATATGTCTGTATTTATCTCTCTTAATACTTTTATGATAATAATTTCCATGCAACACAAAAAATTAATCCGAATAGTGATGATATATCTACATGCAGTTCCTGCTTAAAGAGGTTAATTTCCACAATTTACAAACTTTTTTATTTAATCTAAAGGAAGAACAGCATTCCTTGATCTCCTCGATAGCAACATGAAAATACTAGGCAGTCACTGTATTTCGAGGCAACTGGTTTCTTCGTTATCTAATTGACTTGAAGAGTCCTCAGTGATGACACTACTGGAATCAGAATTTGAAGAAGAAGATGAGGTTGGAGGGTTAGGACCAAGATCGTTCAAGTTTCCCATCATGAATTGGTAGAATCTTGGTGCTTGGTCATCCTTGCATGTCCCTATGTTTTCGTGATCTTCAGTAGTGTTCATGTTTCTTTTCTTCAGAAATATGTGACAAAAAACCCAATTGCCAATTTGAACCAACGAATTCTGCAAAATATAATCATATTTAAAATAATGAAAGAATACAACACATTTATAACGAAAGAATACAACACTTAAAGCAGAGCTAGTACGCGCCTAGGGGTNAAAGAATACAACACATTTATAACGAAAGAATACAACACTTAAAGCAGAGCTAGTATGCGCCTAGGGGTTGTGACACATAATACTTAGATATCTTAAGTTTAAAATATTATATTTTAATAAAAAATACTTTAATAAAAAGATATTTCTTACAATTAGCCTGCGATTGATCTCTATTACATGCATGTATCTATTCTTATGTGACTGTTTATGTTGTGTGTATCATTTGGATTTTGCTGGCATGGGCATTCTTACTTTCTTAGATTTCCATTTATGACTTTGCTATTTTAACAACTTAATGATTATGATTGGCAGATAGTTTGTTAAATAAATTATAAATTAAATTTTGTCAACACAAATATCATGTAATACTTTCAAAGCATGAACGCTCATCGGGATCTATTGTACGTAAACGATCATACTTGATCTCTTTTATCGGCAAACAATGGTAACTAACTACCCTTTTTTATTGTTGTTTCTTTGTATAAACTATACATCAGGGTGTAGTCCCTTTCGTGTTAATGAATCTTTTAAGTGTCAAGTGTGACATCAATAAAAATAAATAAAACATTTTATTTTCTAAGATTAGAAAAAGAAAATTAAAGTTTAGAGTTTAAGTTGCCACCCGAGAAAAAACTCCTGGCTCCGTCCCCTCAATTAAAGGAAAAACATGTAGAAAAGGCATGGATATCCTGAGTATTACCCCCCGAGTAGATGTCTTTGTAGACTGAGCAATGTCATCAGTAGCATTTCCGTGGTGGACAAGGCGAAATTCATGCATGATCCAATCTGTTCTAGCTGCATGAGGAGGTTTCCCTTTATAAAAAACCAATGTCTTCCTCATTCCCATTACTGGCTTTATTTTTGAATTTATAACTTGTTTGTCTAAACCAGTTGCCTTCCAATAACCACCACCAGTTGTCCTGTTGGTTTGGTTTCCATTTTGGTACTTGGCTTCCTTGTTGCTGAAGAAGTAGCGGTCCTCGTCCGACTCACCTGCCCATATCATTCATTCATCAACATAAATTATTTTTTTTTTTAAACCTTTAAGGATGTCTTGACCAACTTATGTGCACATCGACTAATTCTCTCTTCTACTTGGTCCGGTCAAACACAGGTTATCCACGTTAGAACTAAAGTATTCATGTAAGATAAATCTCTCCTGACTTAATTTCAAGGAATTGTTAAGATTTAAATTCAAGACGTCCGAGTCAACAACTCGTCCTTGTCACGACTTAAACAACTCTTTGAGTTCAACATAAATTACTTCACAAGTCACATTTATATGCGCAACCATGGAAAAGCACCAATGAACTGAAGATCATTTCATTTCACATATGTGATATTGAAGGTCAATGGAAAACAGAAGGCAACCGAGTGCTACAAACGCCCTTCGTTGTGACATCTAGAGAGGATCGAATATATGTTGTTTTACCCCGAATATACAAAGACTATTTTTAAGCAAAACACTGACACTCGAGTCAAAATAAAATTACTGCATAAGGATGATAGTAGATCCAAAAAAAGCAAATATTTGTTTAAACTTGCTCAATTTGGATAGGAGATGAATCATATATATTGGACGATGGACGTATATGAAGATACCCGTATATACCCGTGCGGCAATAGAGGAGGGATCGACTAAAACTCATCTCTGCTCCGCCCCTCCGTACTAAACTCGTAATATATATATATATATATACTATCACAAACCCCACCTATCCACATATTCTTAACTTTATAAAAAAACCACTTTATTCTTTTTTTTATCCATTTGTTATATAATGGGTTTCATCCTTCTTACAAAACTATTTATGAGGTTTTATGGTTTTTTTATTCAATTTTTTTTTTAAAATTATATAAATTAATTGTTATGGAAGAAGAAGGTGACGGAGACTGGAACGGGGACCAAAATTTATTCGCGAGACAAAGACAGAGATGGAGACAGAGACGGAGATTAAAATTAGACGAAGATTAAAATTTTTGCTGCTAATGAGGATGAATGAATATTTTTGAAGCAAATACGGGAATGGAGACTACTGCCCTCACCCCCGCCCCGGTCCACTACCTTCCCTATTATTGCAGTCATCCCTTACTACATTCCTTCCTAAGTTAGGAATGGCGGGACATATTACTGTAAGAATCCCTCTAAAGTGGGTATCCTTTAGTATAAATAAGGGAGAAAGCAATGTTTATCCAAGTCTTAAAAAAAAAAATTAAGTTCAAAAAACTCTCGCCACAGCGGAGTCTAAGGAGGGTAAGACATATGCGCATACGTGCTATGTGAAAACACTACCATAAGTGGTTGACAAAGCTGAAAAACATAATAGAAACCAAAGGGTAATTGGTATTGCTTTCGCACAAACCTGCAGGCAAATCCCAAGGATCGTGTTTGTATATATTGACCTCCGGAATGATTGTTGCAGGCAAAGGGCGTGAAAATATTTTGCGTGTGAGGTATTGAAAGACAATCTCTTCATCGGTTGGCTGAAATCGAAATCCAGGAGGCAATTTAATCACCCCATCTTTAACAAAATTGAATGTGTCCATCTTACCACTTCTTCCCTTCAAATTTAACTAGTCTCGCACTAAAATGACTCCAGCAACCAATGCTAAGCCGTCTGTGTCTCTGTGTGTGAGAGAGAGAGAGAGAGAGGGTCATGATTTGAAGGGAAAACAGATGGCTCTTTATAAAACGAGTACTGGTTTGATGACGGAAAGGTTGGGTGTAAAAAGAAGTTTTGTGAGACAGCTGTGGAAAGGAGACTTCCACAGTGATTTTATGCAAGGAAAATGCCGTCTTTGAAAATATTTATTGAACCCCAAGGTACTGCAAAAGGAAATATTCTCTGAACTTAAAATTTGGATTTAATAACCACCGAATAGGTAATAAGTTCTAATAAATATTAAAATTTATAATAAAATTAATAATTATAATTATTAAGTATACATTTTAAATTTATTTTTTAAGTTTGTATAGAATTGCTCGTAGTTCAAACGGTAAAAAGACAAATTGTAAATCTAGATGCATTAAGTTCGAATTCTGTCAATCTCTTAGGGTTAGGCAATGAGGAATTTATCCCTCATCAATACCTTAGTCTCAGCGTGAATAGTCTGCCTTTAACTGGACTAGAGAAGGGATCGATTAGTCGGGGTGCGCATAAACAGACCCAGACACTCCTGACCATTAAATAAAAAAAAAAAAATACTTTTTGGGATATTTGTCGTTGTGGAACATTTTGACCTACCTAATGCTACGAGTAATAATCTATTTAGACTTAAAAATTTAATTTAATTCATCGACTTAATGACGTGGTTCTATTGTAATTCGGAATCAAACCAATGTTTATAATAAATTAGGTCAATAAATTAGGTGAATAAATTAAGTAATAGCATTACTCCTGTCTCTACTAATAGGTAGAAGTAGCAACTTTCTTTAGTTGTATTCCATGTTTGATGCTTTCACATGAAAATGTATGCAGATTCCATGCTGAGTCCTAACGCTGTTGGGAACACGTATGGGAGATGGATAGTGATGGATTTAGGAATTTAGGTGGTGTTTGGCAACACTTAAAAAAGTACTTTGTACTTTGACTAGCACCAATGACTCCAAAGAGAGAGGTAGACAGACACTGCAATTTCAAAAGAACTTTCTCTCTTGTTGATCTTCTAGATTTACAACAGAATTTACAAAATCTGTGAGTATAGCCTTTATCTTTTGTACCATTTTTTGTCAATATAATAAAAAGCATTACTCGACAATGACACTCAAAAATTTTAGCGGAGCAAATGCTCCCGTCTCTCCCCCTAGATCTATCATCGTGAAACAATTTTAATCATAATTTAGATTTTTTCAATTATTTTTTTACACAATTTTACTCAATAGTATATTACTCACTGTGTATGGGTGAAAAGTTCAAATATAAATAATGGGTTTCAGATGAATACACAGTAAATGATCTATTATGTGAAAAAATAATAGAGGGAATGAATGGTAATTGAGCGGAACAAAAAAGTTGGCTACATTATGGTCTCTCTCTATGTTCTGCTGTTAAGAGTGAGTAAAAATCTCCTATGTGAATGCAATTCTTTTGTGCAATTGCTTAATTTATAGTGCTTTGAGATTGGGATTTCATTTATACATATAGCTTTTAAGCATGGTTAGTCATTCCTCCTAACAAATGGCTGAGCCTATCACGAGCAAAGCAGACAAAGTACTACAAGAAAAGGCAAACATCGTATCAACGGATTCTTTAGATGCAATTTGATACTTTAAGAAATCTCTAATGCTCTGTTCGGTACGATAAAAAATTAAGAGAATAAAAAATTGGAAGGTTGAAAAGTTAGAAGGATAAATAAAACATTATATTTTGTAATGAAAGAAAATAGGAAGGATGAAAAAGTGGATGAATTAACTTTCCTTCCAACTCACTAAAATCAATCCCTCCAAAATCAGAAAGAAAGTGGATGAAAAATTAATTATTTGTGTTAAGATGTATCTTATTTGTCTATAAGTCTTATATATACATTAATTTCATATAAAAATACAATAATAAAATATGTATATATATTTTAAAAAATTTTAAAAATTAATTTTAAAAAAATAAAAAAATAAAAAATTTAAATTAAAAAAATATATTTTTTTCATTTTAACTAAATGTAAAAATTTTTGACTCAACAAGATGACACGATTCGAACTCGATTCGAAAATAAATAGGTTAACTCGCAACTTGACATGACATAATTAATTAAATGAGTTAAGTTAGGTTTAACTAATATTCGACACAAACTCGTAATAACTTAACACGAATCTGACACGAGTCGACTCTATTGTCAGTATCAAAAAAAAAATAGTTTTTTTTTATTTTTCATCCATTCAACTAAATACAAAGAAATGAAAGTGTATCATTCCTACTTAAAATGTATCCTTCCTACTTTTCATCCTCCCTACCAAATGGAGTATAACTGCAAATCAAATAACACCCAGCAGATATGCATCCATTGGAAAAACTTTCCCCTTTTATAAAGTATAAGTGTGTAAAACTAACAAAGTCATTCAATTTTAGTTTAAGCTTGGCTCAATATCAACTTAAGTATGTTCATTTGGGTCGGAAAATTAACTGAATATGATCAAATCGTTCAACATTCAACTCGAGTCCTACTGTTGTGCCGCTTGGTTTGATGTAAAAAATAAATATTTTTCTGGCTTAATGGTTAAGACATGCATAACTTTAAAAGATTGTTGACTTGAGACCCATTAGGTGTGGCTTTTTTAACTTTGGAAGCCGGATAGATCCAAACCTGAATTAAGTAATTTAGAAATTGAATCAAACTTGAACAAGAATTGAGTTAGTCTTTACTATCGAAATGGAGCCAAGATTTAACTAGCAACAGTCAATTCGAAGGCCGAGTTTGAACATACCAAAACTTGAAAGGCTCACCTTGGCTCGAGAACCAAGAACTTGAACACCTAACAGCTGCTTTGATTTGCTTTTTGTCTAAAGGAAATAGGCTTCGTTTTGGAAGTCTGACGCATAAAGGTCATGGATCCACCTCAGTATGGAGAGACTTTTGAAGGGTAAACTTTAGTATCCTACTTTTCTTTGTTGATTGTGAATAATCTGGTTCGAAAGAAAAAGCATCGCATAAAAAGCCAAGTGCTTTAAGGAAAAGCAAAACTTCAAAAAGCCACGAGTTGAAGAAGAACTGATTTAAGATCGGATAGGTGCTTTCCTTCGTTGAGAAGATGTTGCTTTTGTTGAGGTTTTCCCAAACCCACGTCCCTTCAAAATTTAATTCTTAAAATCATTCACTTTTAAAATTAATTTTCAAACTCAATCTTTTTTTAAAAACGTCATTTGAAATGACGTCTTCTCACTTGAAAACGTCATTTGCAATGATGATTTGAAATTTAAATTTTTTTCTTGAAAACGTCATTTTAAACAGCATTTAGAATGACGTTTTTAAACATGATTTTTTTAAACGGCACTAACAGATGTTAAGAATTACAAAAAGGTTGAAAACGTCATTTCAAATGACGTTTTCAGCCTCTTTGTAATTCTTAATGACGTTTCTATCCCTTAACTTTTTACAATGATATTTTCTTCTAAACCAACTTGGAGGTAAAATTCAGGATTAACTATGAAATTTACCATATTTTTTTGATAAAATATTATAAATGCATCAAATAAATTTTAATTTTACAAATGCATCGATATTCTAATCAATTTTAATATGATCGTAAATTATTTTTCGACTTAAAATAATATTTTAAAATATCGAACACCGGTCATTAAGTGATAGGTTTTCTGCCTTTTTTTTTTGAATAAAATGTTAAATGTTTGTTTAATAAAAAACCCTAACGATGATACCTAAAATTATTTTGCTCACGTTCTTTTTGAGAGGATGAGTTTTTTTTTTTTTTTTACTTAAAAATTTAATTACATTCAATAAATAAATTATGATAATTTTAAAATGCTTGTATTTTATTTGTAATGTTGATTATGTCAACATTAATGTTTAATCAATTGTGAAAAAATATAAATTATTCAGAACGTATATATGTAAAAAAAGGATATCAATAACGTGGTTGATATTCAAAACAACATAAATGATTATCGAGTATACATAAATATGATGGGATAAAAATGTCTGACGCATCATCGTCCAAATCAGAGAAATAAGAAAATTTAGAATCAGAAACTAGTAACGGATTCTATAAAATTTCAATTTCGGCATATTCAGGATCAAAATGCTCTATTTTTGCATAATCGAATGCATGAAAATGATCTAGACGACGCTGCATTTGATCAATTTCACGTTCAAGGATTGATATGATCTCGTCATGATTATTTAAATTCTGTGAATTGTAAATATCATATGAACGTGCCTTTGGTACTGTAATTCCATGCCAACGACAAAATATTCCAAGGTCACAACGTTTGTCATATAACTGTCGCCATCTTAGTATGAGTTTGATATGAGCACCTGAAGGTGGATAATAAGTTGCAGGGCTAACAATTACATGCCTAGCTTGTCCAAATGGGTGATAAGGGTCGATGGACTCATTACGGAATGCACGTTTTCATCCATACCACGTTATATCATTGGTGTCGGTATATGATTTGATAAAAGGAATTTTGTTCAACAATGTTGAGTTGTCCGTTGAGCGTTCACGTTTGTTATCCGAAGATGAACTGTTTTGGTCATTGCGTGAAAAAGAACTCACATGTGATGTGCTCCTATACATATTGTTTGGTGGTGATGTATTTACACAATTGTGAATGGTAGTATATATATGTTGGGTTCGACAATTAAAAATTGCAGTGAAAGGACATGAATCTGCATACTTTGGAACTGATTTAACAGTAATGCAAAATGATAATGAAAAAGGTAGGATATGACAACACACTACATACATTGATAAAGCCACGAGATAGATTAAAGTAAATAGGATATTACACTACAAAGTTGAGAACTGATTTGACAATGATAGGATGTGACAATGAAAAAGTTGAGATAGGATAACACACTAAATAAACTGATAAAACAACAATATTAATTAAAGAAATAAGGACGTAGGGATAAATATCATATGCTTAATAAGGTGGACACAAATTATATTTGTTAATTTTCATCAGACATTTACTCATCTGATAGGTATTGTTCATTAGACAATAAATTACATCGTTCAGTAGTTGTTATCTCCTTGCCAAA